TGTATGATGATTATGTAGAAAAAGTAGAATTGGGCTGAAAGATCTATCACTATCACCTATTCAGGTTGTAAATCGTGTTTTTAAAAAGTAACTAAGTAACTAAGTAAATAATTACCTTTGAAAATAAGTAATCAGTAAAGTAACGGGTTTACTTTTTTGGGGAAGTAATCAGTAATTAGTTACTGATTACTTTTTTTCAAGTAACTTGACCAACACTGGTGACAGCTAATAAATAAAGCTCCACCCGGTAGTTTCAGCTGCTCCCTTATTTACCAAGCTGTCATCACACCGAACGGTTGGATCCACGTGTTTGATTTGGCAAAGATGTTACACCGAATGCCCTTGCACCTATCCGGGCTTGGGGCCGGCACACTACCAGTACACTAGCTTGTGATGGGTTTGCTAACTGATATCAGGTCAATACAGATCTATCTGCTGATATTTTTTAATATACATAGATGCAGTAATTACATGTAAAAAGGAAAAATTATGGCATTATTGGATATTAATTTTGCAGAAAAGCCAGTAACTCAGGAGATTTACTCAGTGGTCGTGATATTCTGCTACATGCGCTGCAGACAGATCTGAGGTAGAGACAGCGCCGCTCTGTTGGACAAACTATGTGATGACAGAATTTCTGAACTATTTCAAAATTATATTTCAGGAAAAAAAAATATATATCAGTGCATAGTGGATAACACTTTCTTGTCTTCCTACTTGAGCCTGGTTTTGATGGAGGTTTCTTCCTGTTAAAACGGAGTTCTTCCTTCCCACTGTCGCCGAGTGCTTGCTCATAGGCAGTCATTTGACTGCTGGCGTTTTCTCTTTATTACTGTAGCGCCTTAAGGCAACTGTTGTTGAGGTTTGACACCATATAAATAAAATTAAGTAGAACATGTAATTGAATGCTGATACATCTGAGGCCAGTCAAAACTGTTAATATCAATTGACTGACCTGTTGGTTTGGATCTGCTAATAATCTTTATTAGTAGTTACTGTGATTATATCTATGATTAATCAATTGAGCAATTTGCCTACAGGTTGAAAGAAAACCATGGCGAATAAGATCTGAAAAAACTGCTTTGTCACAGTCCAAGATTACATATTTAAAACATTTTGTATGAAAAATCAGTCCAAGGCCCAAAGATATTAACAGCTGAGATAACTTAAAGTAAGCACATATTTACATAAAACACTGGGGGTGACTGTAAAAATGTGGCAGACTCTGGATCTTTTAGTTCTGTTAAGTTTCTTTGCTTTCACAACCTCTTTACCCTCATTTGATCTTTTTCACAATCTGGATAAATCCAATCATAATCCCGTAGTTTGAGCAGCTTAACATCAAAAACCTGAACAGTCACGATGAAAGCCCGTAAGTCTTTTCATAGCTAGGGTTTTAAAAGTCTTCTTGTGTGGCAGAGCTCTGCAGACGAATGCATGTGAAATCGGGTCCAGCTTTAACGGCCCGAAGACATCGCGGCATCTCCAAACCTCCAGGGTGAGCGGGTGCATCTTTCAAACATCAGCTCACACACACGCACACACACACACACACACACACACACACACACCACTGCTGGCTTTGATGGAACCAGTAATGAATATGTAACACAGTCCTTGCAGCGCTTTGTGCAAGTGCGTGCAGCGGATTGGGGGGGTTCCATTTTGAAAGGCGGTCTGGGAGGGGGCACAGGACTACGGGGGGTGGGGGGGTAGACCCCTGTGTCTCCAGCACAGTGCAAAAGTTACTGTAAAAAGTGTGTGCATGCATTAGTGCATCTAGGTGGCGCACTAGACTTTACCCACCAGCAACAAGGCAACAGATGTCTGCTGAGCACGGTATCTGCAATGGGTATCCCCCTGCCATTGCACAAAACAGACACACACACACACACACACACACTTTCTCTCTCTAAGGGCAGCACCTTCAAGAAAACTTTTTGAAAACTTTTTTGTTTTATCCACTAATGTGAGACTAATATATATTTTTAACCAGAAGCATCAAGTTTCATATCAACACATATCACACAAATCTGAACAACTGCATTGACGGCAGACGTGAGCAAAGTTTAGGCAGGTGCTACAGCACTATAAACTCTTATCCTGCACACCAAGAATTTTTTTAAAAATACTCTTGTGGTTAAAAGTCACTAATGGGTTCTGCAAGTTGCATCCATTTTCAGCGATGTTTCACAATCAACAAAAGAAAGTGGGCTCCATCTTTTCCTCTTTAATCTGAATTTGCCCTTGTGAATTATAAATGACTCGAACTTTTCTGAAAACTTAAAGGAGTCTAGGTTACTCCCTGTATGCCACCATCAGTTTTTTTGATGATCCTGCAGCGCAGCGGAAGCCTAGTGAGGCTCGAGAGGAGCAACCTGTCGTGCAAAAGTCAATATTTCTATTTTATAGCAAGCGGAAGATAAATTTCAGTATAAAAGTCAGGTTATAATAGAGAGGAGGGAACTCCATCACACTCACCAGACCAATAAAGTGCAACAAACAATGAAGAGAGGAAATGTGATTAGCTCATTTCAACATCTTTAAATCCTTGAAAAGCCGATTAAAAAACGCTGCAGGTGAAACTGAGAAAGAACCAATCCCAAAGTTCCCACAGCAACAACATCCAAGATCGATTTCTTCTTTCTTCTAGAGCATCCAGCTCCAGCCTCACGCCTCTGTCCTCACTGTCCGACTGTCTTCCAGAGCTGTGTGTGTGTCTTTTTCCCCCCTCTGCAGAAGCAGGCAAGTTGGACAATGAGTGGCAGAACAGATGGACCCAACAATGTCAGCCATTCCCTCGTTCAGAGTGGCTGCTTCTGACCAATCGGAGAAGCAGCAGCCCTACAATGAGGTGCAGAGGCAAGAGGCAGGGGAGGAGGGGAGTGGCTGTGGGCAGATGTCTGCAACACCCAGTTTCCCCAAGGCACGCGTACTCAACGTGCACCGGCACACACACACGCACGCTAAGTCACACACTCCACGGCCTGAAAAGGCTTCCCCTGTGTGGCCGATGAATCAACGAGGGGTGGGAGGCTGAACAATGGAGCTACACAATGGGAGGCTGGGGAGGGCAGCTGCAGTGTGAGGCCTGGTGCTATTACGGCCCCGGGCAGCAATGGAGAACACCTGGCTACAGAGCGCCACAGTCACTCTCCTCTCTTTGTCTCGAGCTGTGGGGAGGGTGGCGGCGGTGGTGACAGGAGGGGTTTCAACTGAAAGAAAAGCTGAAGGCTGGCTGAAAGACTGCTGTGGCCTTTAAGAGAGTGCAGGAGGAAAGAGAAGAGTGTGGCTGCGCTGAAAGAGAAAAAAAGACAAGTGTGTGGGGGGCGAGAGACATCAAAAAGTTTTATGTCCCAGTGAGTATGAGGAGGGGACCTGCTCAGCATTGTTGTGGCACACTTAAGGCCGATGACTCAGAAGCACAAATCTTTGCCTTTTTGTCTTTTATATGATTATGTAGCACGTGTAGAGGATCCCATTTGTTAAAGAAAAGCAACATACTACAATGACACAAGAACTTGCCTACGATTTCTTGGACACTGGTATAAATGTATTTCAATTTCAGTTATATAGCATCAAATTCAACAATTCAATCAACAGTTGCTTCAAGCCACTTTATATTGTAAGGTAAAGACCCTACATTTAAATACTGAACAACAAAAAAAGCTTATCTCAGACACGCCCATCCCGAAATAACGTTAGCCAAACAAACTCATCTCAACCAAAAAACCATCCAACGCTGGATACACTTAACTTGAAAGAGCTGCTACTTAATACACACTAGTAGTAGTAAATAAGACAGAAACCTCCATGTATCTACAAATCATAAATTAAAGCAGCGGTCCCCAACCCCTGGGCCTCGGGCCGGTACCGGTCCGTGAGTCGTTTGGTATCGGGCCGCGAGAGTTGAGGCTCAGGTGTGAAATGTATAGTTTTCAGGGTTTTTATTGGTTTTCAGCGTTATTTTGTTATCGTTTTTATCGTTAACTCGGTTTTCCTGGGTCTTTTCCCATGTGTTATGAATAAATCTTCTTTTTTTCGGTACCAGTACTAGTTTTATTTTGTTGTATTTATCCGCGACACCTTAAAGGCCGGTCCGTGAAAATAATGTCGGGCATAAACCGGTCCGTGGCGCAAAAAAGGTTGGAGACCGCTGAATTAAAGAATTAATTAATTTTTTTTTTTAAACCAAATCAATGGCTACCTTTGATTGTTTTAAATTTTTTAAAAAGGAAATATTGACAAAGTTTAACTTTGAGGACAAAATTTGCAGTTGAGAAAAAGTGATAAATCGCAATAAAGCTTATCAATATCGCAAAAAAATCCCAATAATATTGTATCAGTGTCTGATGAGTCCCACCTCTATCAAACAGGCAGAATGAAGAGCAGAGAACAATACACTGTAGTCTAGTACCATGCAGACTACTTGAATATGGATACCCAGCTGACCAAAGTGAAACACAGACTGGACAGAGGTAAAAGTAGCAGATGCTTATAACAACAGTGTAAATTAATATGCCAAATATGCCAAAGATGAACATGGTGCAGCTTAATGTGAGCTGTTTATCTAGGACGCTTTTTTTTTTTTTTAAATTGAAACAAATGACTCTTCATCCGAGCCAAGTAGCGCAACTCAAATCCCACAGCTGATCCCTGTGTATTAAAATGATGAAATAAAAGTAAGATGGACGCGCACAGTTGCTCCTTCACCTCCAAATCCGAAGCTTTTGTCTCCATTTTCTGCAGACTCTATAGCAATTGCATGTTTTTGTTGCTCCTCAGGGACTCTGACATTGTCTAACGGCACATAATCAGGTACTGCTGTAACATGAGTGCTGCATGGCACCAAAGCAAGGCAGGGGGAAAAAAAAAATCAAACGTCTCAGTGTCACTATTGATCGTTTTTTTGTCCCCTCTGGTCACCAACACAGAGTACTGACAGCAAAATAAATAAAGTAATAACACTGTCGATATGTAATACCGTGGGAGGTGACAAGGCCGGGGCATGTCCACTAGTCATGTCAACCTAATAGAGACAGCCAGTGGTTTGGGTTTCATAGAAACGTTTAAGCATTTTTCTTAAAACGACTTACAACGGCCAAGACCGAGCATAAATGATAAAATAAATAACTGCACGAGACAAACGTTAAATATGAAATGAAAATACGGTTCAGATTTATGTGACTGAAAGAAAAAAATACTGATATTCTGCAGCACAAAATTTATGTGACACTAATGACTCATATTAGTGATTAAGAAGAGGGCCAATGTTTAAAAAAAATAAAAATAAAAATATGTTGTTAAAACAGCACCTGGGGGGATAAATTAGGGAGCAGGTGAACATTCATTATCCAAATTCAGTTTAGCAGCAGGTGTAGTGGGGTGTTCCCAATATGCAAGGAAAGACTGATCCAGGAAACCTGCGGGACGTGGGTGATCCCTGCCATCTGAAAAGCTACTGCAGCACTGGTTTTTGAATAAGATAGGAAGAGTCAGAACAGTGCACCTGGATCGTTTATGGGAAAGCAGGAATTCTAGCATTCATGAGAAGGCCGTCGCTTGGGTGTGCTGCAAAAACAACTTCCAGGACTTAAAGGATGTGCTACTCACACAGCCTCCTGACAGGACACCTTTATAGGTCGTAGTGGTTAAGAATTGTTTTGCTAGCTTAATAACATAATTACAATTACATAAAGCCTGCCTGGTTTTATTCAAGATCTGTGCTCCAAAACAGCAAATATTGCACACTTTTGCATCAAAAATAACAAAATCAACTGCACTTTACAATCAAAGTAGTTGTATAATTGGCACGCTGGTATAAAATTAATACGTAATCATTGCAGGTTTAATTGAATTATTTGCAGTGTTCACTTTGGATTCTTCGTAGGGGCCAACACAGCACTCTGGCTAATGAGCACCAAGCTGCAGCAGCCACACCCGTGGAAACTGAGTACGATCCAGAGGACAACGCATCTGCCAACGGAAAAATTAATTTAGAAAGATAAGGCTGAAATATCCAGCTGCATTTATCTTGGCAGCAACAAGTAGCAGCATGTATTTAGAGGCAACAGAAAGCGGTGTGGTGTCGGTGTGTGTGCTCAGCCAATTTGCCAACTAAAATAAGTGTTCCCCCAGCTTTAGTGGGCTCAACAAGAAAACAAATGCCTGATTAAATAAGAATATGCTCCTAGTCAGCTCTCAGAGTCAGACAGGGTGCTGAGGAGAGATGCATACAACAGCTGACCGACTGCACAGCTCCCAAATGCTCTAACAGAGACAGGAGGAGCTCTCTGTGGGGGCCATCTGTTCTCACAAACAGGTGTGCACTGCTCCCAACAACTGCAGCAGCAGGACGAACGCTGAGAACCCAGCACAACAGAGCTGAGCTGCAGCGGGAGGCTTCTTCCTGTGCCTGAAATTAATTCTTGCCGGGTTTGGTCCAACCTGCTCTAGTCTTACTTCCTTATCGATAAGACTTGCAAACTATCGGGCGACGAGTCAGGGACTATTTTAATAACCACTTTAGTCATGAAAAAGTAAAATGCCTCTGGCTTTGCATGTCAAATTTGATGAGACATCACACATTTGACTGAGGTGAATAAACAAAGTTCTCAAAACGAGCAGAAATCCAGCGATGTTCAATTCACTGTTACTTAAAAACAATAAAAAGTTAGCGATTAATCTTCTATTCTGTTTGGAAAAATGACAAATGGGGAGAAAGAAGGTGCAGTGCATCACTGTGGTCCACTTTTCCTATCCAAGCGAGGTTCAGGCAACAGAAGGAGACCTTTTGCTCCTTGTAACCTCTTTCTGACCTCTGCACATCCACTCAGCACTGCCAGCACCACCAGCAGTACAGAGTACGTTCAGGATATCATGGCAAAAGTCATTACCTCTGTGTGTGTGTGTGTGTGTGATTCAAATGAATACCACAGAAAAGTGAACAGAGGAAGTCTTTGTGGAGTCAGAGGGCCAAACATCACTGCTGAAGCTGCAGTATCTTCTAAAAAGCACCTTTCCTCTTAAACTGTGACATGTGTAGCACGCATGCAAGAGGATGTTATTTGATACAGAATAGCCTTTAAACGTGACAGGGACACACTTTGAGTTTGGAAACAGGGGTGATGGTCAGAAGAAAGCAAAGTGGGGTCACTTAATAAAAGCCCCACGGGGTGTGGACAGACAGCTGTTGGGCTCGTGCCTACACCACGCCCCCCACCCTTCCCCATCCAAAAGCTCAAAGCCTGGACTGCTACTGGTCCGACCCCTTCGCTGAACCACTATAACCAGTGTTCAGCACAGCTGTCAGTTTGCGAAGACAGGTGGGAGGGAGAGACAAGAGCGCCTCTTCTCCCTCCTGAATTCCCCAGAGAGCAGACTTGTGCTTCACTCAGGCCTTCTTCACCCCAAAACTGCCTTAATGCTCATTTCAAAAATACGCATCAGCTCCATTTTCAGCCTAAAAGGCGCGAAATCCCACAGCAGCACCCATCCCGTTGTCTGCCTGTTGAAGAGGATACAGTCAACAAACTATATTATGGATGTTTGGGAGCGCGCATGGGGCGTGCACGGTCACCGCAAACCAACACCGTCACGACCTCCCTGCAGCTCTCACCCACACCAACCTGCGGCTCCTCCTGCTAACGAGTCCGCCCTGAGGACGCTGTTGGCGGGTTCTCACCTGGTCAGAGCCGCCGCTGGAGCCGCACGACAAGCTTGGCGTTAAAACGCGCCCATCTTCATCACATACTGGCGACGCAAAACATCCGGCCGGACT